GTTGACAATTCCAAGAAGCCGTAGGGAATGGCCCACATATGTCCGTATGTATCAATTCTAAGACGTCTGAAGCTCTATATGCACCAGTTTTCGATTGTTTGGTCTGTTTACCTTTTATGTATTTAACACAAACCTTATGGTCTGTGAAGTCAATGGAATCCAAGATCCCATCTGACACAACACGCTCAATTCTCTTTTGAGAAATGTGACCTAGGCGCTTGTGCCATAATGCACCTGAATTATTATTATCAATTTTACGTTTAGTACCACGTGATTCCACATTCAAGGTTTCGCTATAATCAGCTACAATATTCAACATATAAAGGTTATCATTCATCATAAGAGTACCAGTTCCAAAAATATTCGAATTTAAAGACAATTTAACCAAATTGTTTCCAAATGAACAATAATAACCAAATTTGTCCAAATAAGAAACAGAAATTAAGTTTCATCTAAAAGACGGTACAACAAAGGTGTCTTTCAAATCCAAATAAAAACCAGTACTTAATAATAACCTAAAATGTCCTATAGCTTCAACTTCCACCGATTTTCCATCGCCAACGAATATGTATCTTTCAACAAAATTAGGCTTTCGGTAGTTCAAGCAACCCTACAGTGAAACACTGATGTTAGAGGTTGAACCGGAGTCTAACCACCAAGTGTTTCCAGGTACTGAAGTTAAATTGACCTCATAACAGACCATAGTAAGAAATGTACCTTTCTTAGCCCGCCAAGCGTGATACTTTTCACATTTCTTCTTTAAATGTCCAGATTCTTTGCAAAAGAAACAAACAGTAACCTGTTTCTACTTCTTTTGTACTGAACCCATTGCAGCTTCATTCTTGGGCTCCATAATTATTTTCCTTTTGCCCTTGTCTTTAGAGGTACTAACAAAATGGGCACTTTCTGTCTTCTCTTGCTTCATCCTTTCCTCTTCTTGAACACAAAATGAAATGAGCTCATTAAGAGTCCATTTCTCCTTTTGACAATTATAAGAAATATTAAACTGGCTAAATTGTGCAGGAAGAGAAATTAAAACCAGATGGATGAGCAAGTCTTCCGACATCTCAAGCTTAATAGCCTTCAGCTTTGAGACAATGTTGGACATTCCCATAATATGTTCCCTTATATTTCCCTTGCATTGATACCTCATGGAAATCAAGTTCTGTAACAGAGTACTTGTTTCCGCATTATCGCTTTTTGCAAAGCGCTTTTCTATCTCAGCAAGGAAAAATTTGGCACTTGTCGTCTTATCAAAGACAGTACCCCTAAAGATTTATGGAATGTCGCGCTTAATGATCATGAGACACATGCGATTGGAGCGCTCCCACTTCTCATAATCTTTCCTCTCTTTAGAGGTACTGGATTCCAAAGGAGGAGGTGATTGCTCTACCCTTAATGCATAGTCTAGATCCATGCAGCCAAGAACAATTTCCATGTTCTCTTTCCAGACCTTAAAATTTGTTCCACTAAGGACCGGAACCGAATTCAGATTATAGATATAGAAGCAATAGTTGGTGCTGAATAGAATAAAAGACAATATATTAAAACATGCTCACAGCTCAAAAAAACATCAATATGCTATAAACAATGGTATGTCCCAATCAAGATACCTAGCGCACCATTAATATCAAGTCTTTGGACAGTAATATTAACTGCAAGTGGTACTCTTGTTGCAATGATCAACATTGATAATAAGACATGTCAACGGACAAACCCCTCTTTGGATTGATTCATTAGTCACATATATAAAACTGAATAATTATCACATGTTTATCATCGCCAATGTGTATGATCTTCGGCCAAACATTAACTTTCCTTAGGGCCAGCTAATATCCGCATGAATAACCACACACACCAACATCTAATATTCCTTATGAGTTATATCCATGAAAGAGGTCACTTGGGCGACATTCCACTTCAATTGGCTCACTTGAAATAACAGACAACTCAGCGGGTAACCATATCACAACCATGTTTAATGCATAAAGATACCAAAGCCCCAAAATTTACTTGAAAAAGACCCTAAAAGTGCCCCTGAATCTCGCTTGAGCGAGGGGGTCTCGCCTGAGCGCGAGGGGTCTCGCTTGAGCGAGAACCCAACCCTTTTTGTCGTAGCTACTGCCTCAACGTCGCTTGAGCGAGAGGGGTCTCGCTTGAGCGAGAACCCAAACCTTTTGTCGTAGCTACTGCCTCAACGTCGCTTGAGCGACAAGGGTCTCGCTTGAGCGAGAACCCTTCGTCTACCCGAGGGTTTTGACGAAGATAGAGGTTCTCCATCAGGTTTTTCGCAAAATTCACCCCAAAACAGTCAAAAAATACATTATGATTGCTATTGTTTCAAAATAATGTTATAGCAATCATCAATGCAAAACAAAACCCAATTTGGGGAAAACATGAACAACATCATACAAAACCCAAATTTCACATATGAACCAAATTGGGTTGGCTCTGATACCAATTGTTGGATATTTCCGATTAATCCTAATCGTATCCCCGAAACTGAATGATTAGGACATTGTTCCGAAACCAAATGTTTATGCTCATACATAAACCCTAATGAAACAATCCTAATCCAGACCGAAGAAAACCCCAATTGGTTTCATAGTGAAGAAGAAAACGCATACCTTGGTTAGCCATTCCGAATGCTCCGAGGTATGTGGGTTGTAGGATGTTCCGGTTGCTAGAGCCTGATGGTTTTCTGTTCGCTCCGCTAGAGGGGAATTCAGAGAGAACGAGAGTGCTTCTGATGTTCTTTTTTCCAAAGTGAAAAATAAGAGTGGCTTAGGTATGCCTTTCCTTTTTTTCTTTATATATATTGGTTTTGTGACTTAAGTCACATATCCTCATAAACCAATCCTTATAACATCAGTTACTCAATAAACCCGTTGCTCTGCAATTGGGGACCATAACCCATAAAGGTAACATTTAACGGTTACCACTTAAGTTGCAATATTCTAATTCAGTCCCTTCATCAAACTAGAAATTGCCCGAAGGTATCTACACTCATAATATTTCATGACACATATGCCCTTAGCCACCAAATTAATCCATAAGACCATTTTATATATATTGGCTAAATAAATAATGTCTATAACACAATTATAGAATTATATTTGTGACCCATAAATTGTCAGAAATTGCAACAGTAGAGGCTTGTGGCCGATGCAGCCACTCAAAATATGGATCATCAAGCCACTCAGGTAGGCAAAAACCATGGTCAATGGAAACAAGATCGGCAGCAACACCAGCAACATAACTATTGTGGTTATGCTTCATCACAAGCATGTTCCCTGCATGTCTATCAAGATTTAGAAGCCTAATGTCCAAAATCCCAATCTAGTGCACTGAAGAAACTGAGAAGAAAGAAGGTCCTAACTCCCCTACATCGAAACTGTAACCGATGGAGCGTTGGAGCGAGGCGAGTTTAGGCATGTTGGGAAGCTTTGGCTGGTAATCCTGCATCAATAGGAAAGAAGGATGCATGATAGAATTTCACTAGAGCAGTAGGAGGCACACCAACAAAGCCTCCATGGTCAAGGAGATATGCTGCTAATTCGCGAACTCCCGTTTCACCAATCCTAATCGAACTTTTCAAGCCAGGTTGCCCAAGCTTTTGACCCCCTAAGCCTTTTGGATTGTTGAAGGCTAAAGGTTCTTCATCTACTGGCTTTGCTAAAGCAATGTTGTTACCACTTTTGTTACAAAAAACATAGGCACCACCTAGGCCACTCGGAAATGGCTTCGGATGAACACTTGAGGCCATAGCTATTGCAACTTCAACAACTAGAGCATGAACTAGGGCTCCACTTCCACTAACTATCTCAATCCTCGGATTAGAAGTACTAAGGTCTTCGCCGGATAACGTTGATAGAGGTAGGCATGGAGTGGAGAAACTTCTGTGAATGTTGTCAGCTTCAAATACTTGTTCAAAGGAGTGAGAAAAGCTAGCGTGGGTGAGTTCTAGAATGTTGTGGTCAAGGTGACCAAAGGATTGGAGTTTGCATCGCTGGGATCGGCTAAACGGCTTGAATCCATGATGTTGATCAATGGCTACAGCCATTTTAAACAATCTCATTCAGATGAAAATGGCAACAGGGCATTCCAATTGCAAAGGGAAATTCTTTCTCACCAAAAGAACTCGAAAGGGATGATAGAAGTAAATAGTTGAGCATAGGAGGAGATGGATCATAGATGAAAACATATATTTGATTGATCAATAGTTGGAGGAGTACTTTGGTGGGTTGAATGGCCTAGATTTTCATATATATTATAACACTCTTCACTACCACACACACCTTACAATGAACCTCATAAGTCCTATTTATAGGACCCCTCAAGAATCTCATGAAACTTCTAGACAATACATGTAATATCTATCATAATGTAATTTATCTAGAACTCTAGAACTCTCTAGACACAAGTTAAATATTATGTATTGCCACAATTTGTAGTCACGGAACTAGAAAGTGATTAGTTTCTTAGCCATAAGGTTATGAATATCATTGGTTATACCAAAAAACATCATTATTACAACTAAAATCAACATTTGAATGACACGTTGCTCACATTAGCATAAGGTACCTCTATTGGGACAAGGATCCTCTGTCCCAAGATTTTCTTGTCCCCATGTCCCTAACCAATCAAACTTCATAAAATAATATTAAAATATTAATTTCTAATTTTTTTATTTATATTTTTATTTGGATGGAATTTTGTAATTGGCTTGGTACATCAAATGGGACATGTGATCCCCATCCACGGTATTTTAATACTCACTCACACACTTACATCAACAATAAAAAGAATGGTACAAAAAAAGGGAAAACAATAAAAGAAGTGTGAATTAAAAGTGTATGTTGAGAGATCCTGGATCTTTCATGCAAAATTCTTGTTCATGTGCAATAACTCAATATTAAATGATACAATACTAACATGAAGTTTTTGCACTATACATAAGATTCTCATAAGAAATGCAAGTTTGGTCCATGAATATGGTCACTCCAGTTCACTAATTATCTTCCCATAGATCAGGTGCAAAACAAATCTCAATATTTCAGAAATGTAACCAGGAGAGAAAGAAACATCACATTTTTATCTCTAAGATTTACATTCCTTTTAAATGGCACAAAATCTAAGGTTTAATAACATCATCACATGAATGATAAGTAAAGCCAAACTAATAAAGAAATTACAAATGCATCAAAAATTCTTACTGAGTATTGGCTTTAGGGGTAAAATTCAAGTGTTGGGCTCATCCTTAAACTTTGGATAACAAATTAACCGAAAAAGCATGCTAACTTCTGCACATTTTTTCCTTCAATCCCTTATAACCTGCATATTTCCAAAACCATAGTCATGATTTTATATCATAGAATGAAATGCATAGAAAATTGATTTATCCCTTGCTACTACACAGTACGCACATAAACTTCAAAAAAATTCTGAACCATAATCGTGATTTTATATCATAATTATAATTATAAGAATAATTACAAATGAACTCAATGTAAATAATAGGGTTGATACTATTACAATCTAATTGGAAAAACTATCAAAACTATAATACCAGCATTAAAATTTAAAACCTTGTTTGTAATATATACTTAACTACAATTAAATCCTTCTTTAAGGTATTACCATCAACACACTTCATTGATATGTCAAGAACATAAACGATCAACATTCACATGTAAATATCATCATGAGATCTATAAGGAATTTATTGATGATAAAATCATATTCCCCCATGCAACTTTTCTTTACATATTTTTACATCTACTTTATATCAATTGAAGTAAAGTTTTACATTAGAAATAGCAATGGGTAAATAATAAATTACTGGTATTTAAGTATAAAAACTTGTAGGTAAAAAGAAAGGTGATATCATTCTTTCAAATTGTGGACCACAAAGCTGGAACCCGACACAAGTGCAATTGCACTATGATACCGATAAATCAGGATCTTCTGTCCCTAAATATTTTTGTCTATGTGTCCCAAACCAATCAAATCCTACCACATAATATAAAAAATTTACATTTTGTTTTTATCAATTTTCTTTTTAAGGATGTGTCAATTTTCTATTGGTCTGGGACACAAAATATGGGACAGGTAATCTCCATTCGCCACCAACATACTGAATCACAAAGATGCAGCTATATGTGGAACAAAGATTTGTTATAAAATCTTGTCTCATATCATGTTATTCGTTCATGGGTATGAAGCAAAAACATTAATAATAATAAATGTATAACATTTTAATTGATATGATTGACACGAGATAGGTTTCAAATCTTTCTTCATGTATCAAACCACATTGTATTTGCATTGGATTGCATATGTGTTGTAATACAATCACGTCATATTCAAAAATATATTTTCTAATCCAAAAATTAGCATTGTCATGGCCATAATAGCACCTCAATTGTGATAAACTCTATTATCCTTTATGATTTGCATGAAAAAGAAATAGGGTTACTATTATATTAACATGTAATAGATCATTATTTTTACATCATATTCACAAAACACCCCCCTTCATAATAAAACTTGTTCCATTAATTCTCCTTCTTACTTTTCCCAAAATTTATCACCAAACAAAGAAACAAAAAAAAGAAAGAGTAAAAGAAACATAAAGAGCATAATAATAATAATAATAATAATATTTATTATTATTTATAAGTAATAATAATAATAATATTATTAATAATAATTATTATTATTATTATTATTAATTATTATTATTATTATTATTTTCCCTACGTACCTATAACCACTAACACTTTTCCCTCTTCTTATCTTATTCTTCTTCATTCCTTCTCTCTCGTTCCTATTTTTATTCATGCACCCCATCATCAACACTTGGCACATTTTCATACACTAATAGTTCATAGAAGTATAATATGATATTAGAGGGTAATAGTACAATAATATGTGTTAATTTATTAATAGCTAACATATGAACCTAACATGAACAAAAAAATAGGTTGTGGTGAAGTTATATTACAATTCCCTTTTATTACAATGCATGTTTCTATGTTTTCCATACCATACACGGTATTTTCTCCTGACCTTTGCTCTTGATTTGTTGCGCAGAAACCGAATGAGATTTGGTCTAACATTAACATTTATTTGTAAGAAATTGGAATTTTTTATTATGGTTTAATAGTGTAACGTGTTGTTAGATTCCAGAAAGATCAAAATGCAATGTTTCGACTTGTAAGTAATATTTATTTCGAATGACATCCATAAACCTCGAAAGGGATTAGTTCCTTACCCAAAAAAAATATATCAGTAGTAACAATAAAAAATGAAAATTCAGTTTGTGTTTGCTTTTCATTTTATGCCTCCATCACTCTTAATAAAGATCACTTGTCCCAAAATATTCATGTCTTCATGTCCCAAGTTAATCGTAACATATGTTATTTTATGTTTTTTTAATTTTCTTTTTGATTACGTGTCAATTTTTAACTGGATTGGTACACATTGGGACACCAAAAATGGGACAGGTGATCCTCATTCCCATCACTCTACCCAAAAAACAATTAAGTGAGCTAGCTCATGCGACCATTTTCTCTATTTATTATGGATTTTGCTAATGAAGTCATTAATTAATACATCTTGAAAGAAAATAAAAGGAAAACAATAAATATAAATAACATTGATCTACATGGATTAATTTTTTGTAGTAAATAATAGCTTATCTAATAAAGTACTATTATTAAAACAAACAAATAGAATAGATGAAAGAAATCCTAATTAAATCACAATCTTAAAAAACAAGATGAAATATGAGTGATAGTGACGACTGACTTTATTGAGAGGAAATATGAGTAATGATAGTCATGAATGAATGGCGTATAGAGTAAAGATTACTTAGTAGAGTAATGTTATTTTCTATTATCACAAAAAGTCACATTTGTCATGAAGTGATATTTTATTTATTAGTAATTAATTTGTAAGTGACATATATTACTGAGAGTCATAAGGTGGTTAAGGTGGAAGACTTAAGGAATAGGGTGAAGTAGGATGTGGGTTCTGGTTCGAGTCTCACTCATAGCAAATTTTCAAAAAAAATGAGTTATAAGGTGGGTTGATGATTAAAGAGAATGGGTAAAGTGAAGTTGAGGGTTCGAGTCTCGTCCACAACAAATACTAACATTTCGAAAGCTTACAATTGACCCATAAGGAAAAATCATTTTTTGACTCATAACAACTAAAAATAAGTTGAGTTTTATCTCTATTATGATCTCAAGGTTTCATTTCGAAATCATTTGTCAATTAGAGAAGTAACACAACAACATTTAAATCATTATCACCACAACAAATACTAACATTTCGAAAGCTTACAATTGACCCATAAGGAAAAATCATTTTTTGACTCATGACAACTAGAAATAAGTTGAGTTTTGTCTCTATTATGATCTCAAGGTTTCATTTCGAAACCATTTGTCAATTAGAGAAGTAACACAACAACATTTAAACCATTATCAAAATAAAATAAATATAAACGATGTGAGACTTACTTCTCAAACAGAGAGTTTCATTACATTGGAAATGTAGGAAAAATAGATTGTTGGTTTAATTTGAGAAAGCTAGTACCTTTGTTCTTTTTGTGCATAAATTTAGTGGACTTCTTCTTATATCACATGGGATGAATTAACAGTATCATATATTCATATTTGTGGACTTCTTCCTATTTCCTTTGTATTTTTTTTACACTAGTGACATCCTCTTTATATCATATTGGATGAATTAACTTGCAAATTTGTTTCAAGATATTTCCCTCCTTCAAGAGATACTTTATGAGGCTTGGAAGGGTTGTATCATTTGATAATGCCATGTGAATCGCTCATTTCTTAATAGTACATTAGTGATGGAGATAATGCACTTCATGGTGCGGTAGAGTGAGGACCACATCCTTAATTTATAAGGCATGATAAGATTTTGTCATCACATACCTTCATGAACATGACATTCTAAATTATTAAGTTATTTCACATAACATTATTTCATGCAAGATGACTTTACAAATATTTATGTCATTTTATATAATTTATTTAATTCCATTTAATTATTCAAATAGAAATAATATCAATGTTTCAAATAGAAATAATATCATATCTTTCTGAATCATATGAAAGTCAGCACCTGAATGGATGAGTGTGTGATGTTTTGTGATTTAGTATATGAGAATGAAAGATTCAACGATGATCACTACAACAAGCATTGTTGAATCTATGAGAATCAACATCGCTTAATGAAACAAGCGTCATGGAGTCTATGAGAATCAACAATACTATCTTCAATGAGCGTTGTTGAATCTTTAAGTCACTCAATTTTAAAAGCACTCAGTGAAACAAACATTGTTGATTGTACATATTTAACAACGCTTGTTTCATTGAGTGTTCTTGATTCTACAGATTTAACAATGCTTGATTCACCGAGCATCTTTGATCGTACAAATATAACAGTGTTTGCTTTGCAGAGCGTGGTTAATTTCAATCTGTCTATCGTTTAAAAGTGTTCCATACATGGACATTGTTAAATGTGCATTGTTAAATGAAAACTCTATTATAATATAAGCTGAATTTGATACACTACACATAGGGTAAATAAGAGAATTACATAACTACGGTTTTGAGTATAACATAACCACTTATATGGTGAACTAGTGGTGTATTGACCATTTTTTGGAAGTTATCCAAATATCACCTTCAATGCCATGGGTCAACTTAATCCTTATTTTGATGATTTTTCTCCAATATCAGCTAGTGTCTCAAGGAATAGCATAATTCCAGAAACTTTGGCCTTTTAAATAGACCTCATACACCTATTTTACCAATATATAGTGAATCTCGAAGTGAATGCCCAACAATATTTTCCTATTGCAGCTTGGTTCCACACAGTAGTCACTGTATAAAGTTCAATCCACTTTTTTTTCCTCTAACGCAAGTTTTCTCAAGCAAAATAAAGAGCCACATGATTGCAATTTTCAGTTTCCCCCACAAAAACTTTGCTAATTTTCTTAACTTGCTTAATTACATAATGGGGTAGCATGAAAATACTTGTAAAATAACTATGCTAAAAAAGTAACTATGATAGGATGTATTCTAATGCTATGATATTTGTTATGAAATTTATTAGAAAGGGAATAGGATATAATATTATATTTGATTATTTAGATTTAATTAAATATTGGTATTAGATGAATAATTCTAGAATGTTCTTATTATGAGATGATGACACTTGTATGTATTAACCATACCCAGCTGTCCTCAACTAAATGACTCAATCAATCACTTATGAAGGTCATTATTTCCTTCCATTTTTAGCTGTCCTCAACTAAATGACTCAATCAATCACTTATGAAGGTCATTATTTCCTTCCATTTTTAGCTGCTGAAATTACCATGTTTTTCTCTATAGTATTTATGTTTCTTTATTTTATTCTAAGTATAGAATTGATCCGTTGGATCAATTCTCTATTTATCAATTCTCTATTTATGCTGCTTGCAGCATCTTGCTATAGAAATGTAACAAAAACCAAAAACTAGTATTCACGTTTCACAATTCTAATAAGAATAGCATCAATCCATTCTTGTCCTTATTTTCTTCTTGGTATCAGAGCCTCTGTGAACACTACCTACAAAATCATGACTTCATTATCCCTCAATGTCAGCAACTTTATCACCCTAAAACTAAGCCCTACAAATTATCCATTATGGCGTGAACAAGCCTTAGCACTTGCAGAAAGCCAAGACTTGGTGGGTCATCTTACAAATGAAGACCCAACACCCACTTAATACACCACCAACACC